TGTGACCTACCAGCTTAGTTTTACATTTTACATCTGGAAGAAAATGTATATATTTAAGAGTTACGTTGCCTCCCCTCATCGACAGCACTGATTATGTGCTTGGTAAATAAATCATCTGCACAGTCACTTGACGTGTGGTGCAGATTAACGTGGACCTGATAACATTGGTGCAACGATCCGCTGTTTTCCCATTTTAGCTTCAATGCTAGTTAATACACACACACACACAGAGGATTGCGCAACAGTTTTTTAACACATATTTCCTCCAGATATATTTGGTATTTTCCACGCTTAATGCCACTCGACAGAGGTGCGCTGGATAACGAATTCAACATTAAGACAAGCGAATATTACACAAACCCAGTTTATGCATTTTACCTAGTGCTAACATTAGCTAGCACAGTATGCTACCGGGGATCGCGGCAGACAAAATATGTGACTGTCGTCATAAGTTGAGTAAGATTTCTTCTTTGAAACAGGGTGGACACTTTAGAAGCTGCTAAACGGTGTAATTTTGTGAAGATTACTTACCATTCACATTCTGTGTCCCGTCACCGAAGCCCTGCAGTTCGGGACAGAGTTCTGAGATCTCAGGGAGTCGGAGCTTTAGTCAGCGCTATCCAATCGGAACACGTCTTACATTGCTCGTCCTTAAGCCCCGCCCCGGATGTTCATGTGAGATTCGCAAGCAAAAATCGTTGAGTTCAATCAAAAAACAGGAACTTAAAAAAAAACTTAGAATCAACCAAAAAATGTTGATATGCAAAAATAAAAGTTTCAAACAAAACTTAATGATTTCAAATTTAAAAAAATTTTTTTAAAGCAAATCTTTTTGTTTAAAAAAAATCCAAAAGTTTTGAAGTTTTGATTACAACTCTATGTTTTTGTTTGACATGATTTTTTTTTTTTTTTTTTTTGTTTCAATACTACGTTTTTGGTTTGACGTGATTTTTTTTTTCTTTTATTGAATTGTGAAACAAATCTAACTCTGTACAGAACTGATGACCTTGTTTAGCAAATGCGGTGACGTCATAGAAAATAAAAACGTCTTGAAAAATTAGAGAAAAATGAACAGACAGAAATGTAACCCCAAAAGAATATAAAGATTACGTATTAAATTGAAGATTATAGACCGCAATAATATTGCGGCCTTTAATCGTGTAAGGCTCTCATAATTTAATATTATAGCAGAAAGACGTTAAGTATTCAATTATGCCATATGAGCTGACCAGTTCATTATTAAGAATGCAAAACATATTGCGAGGGAATGCAATACTTTTGTGAGATAAAGGAAAGGAAAAAAAATCCCCTAAAAGACATCTATGCAGCAGCAAGACAGAATAAAATTACACTTCTTTGCTCTGCTAGACACTCAAAGTACACAAAACATGTATATAAGGGCTAAAGAAAAGTGGATTTTGCATGATTTGTCCATTTAAATCAAAGCATATTGGTGTGTTAGAGAGGCAGAATAGTCTAAATTTAAAAATTACTGTTAATCCGAGGAACAACAGCTCATAAATTTTGGTCTCTAGATGTACAAAACTGGTGAAGGGGGACTAATAAAAATGTGGAAAATCTAAAAAGTTCTGAATATAGCATCTGAAAAAACAGACAGAAAGTAAAATCTGTGTTTCATAACTTACTGATTTCATTGTGTGGCCTCAGCTCTCCAACGTTTTTTCTCATCCTGACACACCATCACGTGGTAAATGTGTCTTTTCAATTGCTCCTCCAAGCTAATCTTTAGCTCTGCAGGCAAATGGTTGCTCCTACTGAGAGAAGAGTGGAAATACCTCATACCTCTTAGGAGGGGGGCTGAGCCCAGGCCAGTCTTTATATTAGCTCTCTACTCCGGGAGCCATGGGCAACAGAGAGACGTTCTCCACCTCTGCTGAGACAAACTGGACGGTGGTACCTGCTGCCCGCTTGTTTTTTACCCCTGCTCTCCCATGGGGTGGAAGACTATTTATCTGCTGGTGGGAGAACATGTATCAATGTGCAACATAGCTTGGGATTTGAGCTTTTATTACGATTCAAACTGCAAGGTCAACTTCGCATGAATTTGTGTCAAAGCTGTCAAGCAGAGAAACATAAAACAAAAAGCCCACACAGAGGAAGAAGAGTAAACAACGGGGCTTAGGGGCCAGATGTCTGGCTGTTTTTTTATGCTTTTACATGTACAGTCAAGTAATATGCAGCGTTTGGATCTGAAAGCGCATTATTAGAGACAAGAAGAGATAAGTGAGTTGTTGTTGCATGATGGCACATAATGACATTTGTGGAGAAAACTTATTTTTTCCCTCTGTATCTTTGTCTGCATGGCTACTCTTCAGATAAAAAGTGAAACCAGCTCTCGTCTGAAGCTCAGGCCCTTGTGTCAGTGTAATGTAGTCGGATCTGTCATGCCTTTGATGCCATCGTATGCCACTCCTCCTCTCTTCTCTGGGCTTTCTGACAGTGACAAAGGGGATCGGCAGCAGCGTGTTATCAGTGTGCAGCTGCAGTAATCGTATTATTTAGTTAAGCTTAATTCTGAGAGGCTGACCAACAGCATGAACAAAGCGAGGCCTTGCTAAGCCCATCAGAGTGCTCCCATGGAGCAGAGGTCTTTTCCTGCCTTGCGGCCTCTCTGTACCCATGCTCTCCCATTTTCCACGCTGTTTCCCGCTGCCCTCCTCTGCGTCTGCCTCTCTGTTGCTTTCTCCCTCGCGCTCGCTCTCTTCCTCCTCTTGTTTTTCTGTATCCAGGATAGTTTTTCACTCCCCCCAACCTCATTTTCCTTCCATCTTCATCCCCTTTAAATCTTTCCTTTCTGAAATGCTCAGCACTGGGAGTTTGTATAACGGTGTTATTCACAGTTCATTGGTCTGTTTGAAGGTACTATCTTGATTGAGGGCTTGATGATTGTGCGCGTGCATAAAGAGGTGACCATGGAGATAGATGAGCTTACTAATATGCAGGACATTGCAGGGGCTGTAGATAAGTGTTGAGCTTCATTCAAGCAGCTCATTTGGGGATTGGGAGGATTGGAAATTATATGGAGCCGTTGTGCAATACTATTAATTCATTGTCGTCCGTGTACTTCTAAACATCTTGTTAAGCTAAAACCAAAACGTTAAATGTATTCTATTGGTATTGTAGGTGATAAACTACCACAGATTAGTATGCATGTGCATTCAGCCCTGCTGCTTTTCTTGAGGAGACTGAAATTCTTCTGAGCAAAAAGGTTCAGCCTCTATAGGGTAGAGTTTCTAACTAGGAATGCACCAATATATTGGGCCGATATCAATATCCAATATAACTAATATTTCTGTGGTATATTTTATGTGTATATTTCACTATCACTTTGACACCTTAAAGAGGCAGTATTGTGTACTTTATAGGTAAATAGTGTCGTTTTATAGCATAATTAAGTAACTGTCACCTTCAGTTGTTATAAAATGCTCTCTATATAAAATATGACTGAAAAGAAATCTGACTTCATAATTTAGCATCTTGAAATTGGGCCTCTGTCTCTTTAAGAAGCTCCTGCTCCATTCCTCCTTCAGGAAGTCATAGCAACAATATTCATCTATTGAGCCTTTGACAAAGTCCTCGGGAGCTTTTTCAATGGGAAGCAGTTCCTATGATAAGATTATTAGATGTGAAACTCCACCAGGTGCTAAATTTCTTGTCTTGATAAGAATTTTGATTTTTAGTTGTCACGATACACTGTCTGTATTGTCTGAATTATTATTGTTACCCTTTTCTCTGCTTTTTGATCAATGAGAGTATCAATAAATATCAATAAAGTTGAACATATGATATATGTGTGCAGTTCAGTGGTACAAATCACATATTTTTATGTGGCTGGGGTCCTAAAGAAGTGCATTACAAGTGGGAATGTTTCTGAAGAGCAGTATTTGTGTTTGTGGGGCTATGATTGCTGTGACACACCGTCTCAGTCATACAGCAACCTAAAAGAGAAGCAATAAATAGTCTTTATTTATCTATATCACAATGGTACCACAGAATACCAGGATAAAATCTTGAGTACATATCGACCATCCCACTCTTGTATGTTTTTTTTATTAATACCGTCCTCGCCCTCCGTTTAAATGGACAGCCATGTCTTTTTAGGTTTGAATGCTCTTTTTGTGTGCAAAACTTGTTATATCCTGCTTTAAACTTCACAACAACTTTCTCCCTGATCGTTTCTGCTTCTTCTTGATGCTGTTTTCTATTAAACCTTTATTTTATCAGGATAAAAACCCATTGAGATTAAAAACCTGCTTTTAAAGGGAATCCTGGCCAAGAGCAGCAACAAATACGGTAATGTCCTCTGACAAACATCTGAGGCATTCACAGAAAAGATGCATTTAAACTGAGATTAAATTACATACAAGTGGACTCTGTTTACTAATTACCCATCACATCCAACCTCAGTAAAATGCATTGAAGATTGTGGCTACAACATAGCAGAATCTGGACAGGTTCGATGGATATACACATCTCTGCAAGGCATTGGATGTTAAATGCAGGTAATAAAGAAGTCAAGGAGTCATTCTCAGTAGCTGATGCATCCAGTTTCCATTCGACCCTCAGCAGTGTTAAAACATTAAAACAGAAGTGAAAAATATGCAAAAAAAATTCTCATTAATTAGCTCAAATTAACCCTGGGGGTTCACACAACCAAGGGAAAGCACCCCATGTACCTTATTCTGACACTGACTCTCTTGCAAGCTTGGATCTGAGATCAAACTCATATTTGGCAGACTCTCACACACACATGCACGCACACACGCACGCATACACACCCACACACACACACGCTCTCCGCCCGAAGCAGAGGAAGCACAGAAAAGCAAATCCGCTGTGAAGGAACCATAAAACCAAACGCTGCAGCAAGACAGACCACTCCTGCGCCTCACAATATATGAGCTTAATGAATGTTAATGACCTGTAGCGAGCATGTGAAGACATACATTCACAGACAGATAGAAAGAGGCTTTACTTACAGAATGATTCAGACAGTTTCAGAGGGGCCGTGCCATACTATAGCTGTAGTGGTGAGTCAACGAGGGCGCTAGGATCCGACGGCACAGAGTTCCTGCACCTCAGCCGGCGGGTGACGGGGGGACGGAGGCTGGCGGGGGGAGCTAGAGGAGTTTGTCACTGGAGGGGAGGATGTGTGGAGGAAATCTGGAGCAAGCCAGTGTTTAAAACTCAGAGGAAAAGGTAATCCATGTAGAGGAACAGTCGATGAGAGGGGAGATTCAGTTCTTGAGTACAAACAGAATGAGGGATTGATTTGGTGGGTGTTTTTCTTCTTTCGCTTTACTCAGAGAAAAAATAACAAGAGGCCATCTCGACAAACTGGAAAAGCAGGGGGTGAAAAATCAGTCAATGAGAAAGGCTCCATCTTTTCCCTTTCTTGTGGTTGTTGTTGTTGTTGTTGTTGTTGTTGTTGTTGTGGTCTTATTCTGCTCTCCTCTGTCTCGCTTGCACCCAGGGACTGCAGAGGGCTTATAGGAGGAGTAACGCCGGCGTCAGAAAATCAATCCCTGTGCCAAACGACGAGCGAGCATAAAGGAGTAAATGACAAGCAGATGAAGGGGAGGATTTCTGACACCTGCTCTCTCGCTCCGCTTCTGTCTGCCTCCCACCCTCTCTCTCTTTCCAACCTGGATTTCCTTTTTAGTAACAACCCTCCCTTTGCTGTATGTTGGGCTTTCTTCAGTGCAACGGTACTGACTTAGATGGATCCTAAAGGAGCCACAAACACGAGGATGCTCCTCTTCGCTTCTTCTTACCTCCTCTGAAAACAGTGAGTGGAATGACAATGAAATGCAGAACGTCGGCTCTGCCAGCTCTGGATGTCTGCTGCCTTTTTTTTTTTTTTTTGCCTGACACTTCGGCTGTGTAGCTGTCTTCCTCTCAGTCTCAGAGCTTCTCTGTCAGTCCTTACAGGTGTCTGTTTACCGGGCCATGGTTTAGTTCAAACACCAACACGCAGAGACAGCAGCTTCAGACCAGACAGTGAACTCAAGCCCCCCCTCTGGCTGAAATCCTGACCCCTCCCCTGCCCATGGCGTTAACTACCCTCCAACACACCCCAGACGAATTACAGGAGGTCTAAAAAAAGGGACGCTGGACAATCCTAGTTAATTCTGGGGTTTTTTTCTCGCTCTCTCTTCTGTCTGTCTCCTTTCGTGTTATTTTCTCCACCTGTCCTTCTGTTTTCTGCTCCCCCACCCTCCTCCTCCTTTGCTCTGTGGCTGTCTCCTTATTCGTTATCTATTCTGGACAGTCTGTCCCTCTTCCCTCTCCGTCACTGAGGGAGGATGAAGAAGAATGGTGCTGCTTCATAATATATTTCTCTGCAATGTGAGAGAAGGGACAGGGAATTTCAGGTACAGAAGCTGCTCCTTTGAAAAAAAAAAAAAAGTAAAAATAAAAACTAGCCTCCCAGGGGGGGGTGATTTTCAATTACTCGCCTTTGCCCACAAACTTATGTGGAAAAAGTGACCCGGCACTGAGGTGCGCCCCAAAAGTGTCGTAATCTCAATGAAATATCCGGCCAATAAATCCGTACACGTCCAAAAGCTCCGTACCGCTGCTCAAGCATCACCGCATCATATTTCATTTCACATGAAGTTCAAGCAGCTTAATTGCTCGACGCACTGACTGGTGGCTGGTGGCACGTCGACTCCTCCGAGGCCTGCTTATCTCTGCTTCCTGCAGTCGGCTCCAGGCAAACCCCAACCTCAATTCTGCAGGCTCAGCGCTGGCTGCAGCGGACGGCTGGAGATGCTGGAGATGGTCAGGTGTGGAAAGCTGGCTGCTGAAGGGAACGTGTTGGCCATTCGGCGACCACCGCTCCCAGGCTTCGGGCCTAGAAAGGAGAGGAAGAGGAGAGGTAAAAGTACAAGAGAAGAGGAGTGAGAGTGCATGAAAGGTTAGCTTGACGACATTTGTGTCACTCTGTCTTATCGCGCATGTCATTCTCCTGCCTGTCACACTCCTCCCTAGCTGTCGTCCTGCTGTCTATTCTGTCCTTGTCACTCTTTCTCCGACTCTGCTGCTTGTTTGCTCCTTAGTCCTCGGCACTCGCGTTAAGATTTGATCCTTTCGCTCCCCTAACAAGCTCATCTTCACACAGTCTCCACATGACATGTCTTCTATTCCCCCTGTGCAATTTAATAACGACACCTTTACTGCTTTCATTCAATTCGTTCTGCTGTCTTCTTCCTCCTCAAGTCTTTGCGTCAGGTGAAGCATGGCGACGCCGAGTTTTAGCAGGAGTGAAACGCAGATTTATTTAAAGTGTTGTGGTTGATCCCGACTTCAACTTAAAAAAAACTTTAAAAACTTAAGTTCCCAACTTAAAAAAAAAAATCTATGTTGAGCGTCTGCAGATCCAAAAACGCAAAGTCTTAACGACGTTCTGCGCTTAAATAATATAACTTCACTGTTGAGCTGAAAAAAATGTATTCTCATTATAATCAAACCTTGAGTTTAAAATACTGTGGTTTCAAAATATCACAGCTTTCACACAAAAATACAAAACAGATGTTTAACATGATCCAGCTGCTTTGAACAGGAAACCGTAAACTAATCCCTCTGCTGCCAAAATAATGCAACATATTGATTATTACAATTAAAACAGTCTTACCTTTAACACTTATTTAAAGTTAATGTGAACTTTATATGTAAACTTAAGCAAAACCACAATATAAACTCATTTGCTTTATATATTCTTTATATTAAATAACACAACTATAACAATCTGCTGATGGTAAATTAGTTGAAATATATTTTAAGGTAGAGCTTGCTTTTTGTAGTCTTATGAAGGTTTTAATAATAGTAGTAATAATAATTGTATTTGTATAGCTCTTTACAGTTGCCAGTAGATAGAGCAAAGCACTCTTCAGTGGGTAAAATAAGATAAAACATAAAAAACACAAGACATAAAACAGGATGTTGCTGTGAAGAGGCTGTTTGGTGCTCAGTCGGTTTCCACTCTATGATTGTTGAGTTTTTCCACAACTATTGATATTTCTGAAATGCCAAACTTGTATTTTTATTTTCAATGTGAGGCTAAATTTAATGTACCAAAAGTCTGCAGCAACAGGTGGGTGAGGGGCGGCGCTGTATTACTCCACACAGCCTGAGAAAACTCCATTTAAGAAACATTTTCTCTGCCATCTTATTTAGAGATTCAGGCTTTTTCTTCCGGACTGATTCCCATTTTGACCGATCCTGATTGTTTTAAATCGAACTGAAATGAATAAATCACACGATTATTTGTGGTATGTGGGATTTATGCATTAAATCACATGCATACACTCCACGCATTAAACTCTATGTCCTTCATCTGATGTTTATTACTGTCAAAAGAAGTGCGTGAAAGCATACACTGATTGATAATGCATATATAGACTAAAAATGGTGGAAATTATTAGTTTTGATGCGTTAGGTTTAGGTTTATTCAATAGATCAAGAAAAAAATCACCTCATTCCAATCTCTGCATAACTGAAGCACCAATGGCTTTATTAAAAACATTTTCAATAACAGAAAGGAAGAGTAATTATAAATTCATTTCAAATTCTAATGTTTGATTAAAGCTATTGTTTGAATGAAGAGAATTTCATTTGATTATCTGCAAAAGCAAATCAAAGAGACAATTTGAACCGTTGCTGCTGTTAGTAAACAACATGATTTCATGTGGCCAATAGGTGAACAATTCAAAGATGGTAGTTAATTGGGTAAAGAATGGCTCAAAACACAAGTCAAGAAGCATCAGAATAAACCTGATCATTAGAATGAACTTTCATTTAAATTTTGTTTAACAAAACTCATCCATCACCTGTCAAACTCAACCAAACAATTATGTAGAGCGCTACTGAAGCACAAAAATGCTCTCATATTTATTTTGGTTCTAATGCGTCACCTCATTACACAAATACACAACCGCCCCCTTCTAATGCCACCCTGGGAAACTGCCCATTCATCCCAGTTTGCTCAGCAATGGTCCATCTGGACCAGAACCCTGCAACCTGCAGCCCCAGTCCCTCCAAATAATATTTTTAAAAATGGATAATAATAATAAGTATTTAGCTTTTTTTTGTGGAATATTTTAACTACAATTCCAAAACAGTCTTACATTAAAAGTACCAGCAACATGTTTTTACAGATATTTTCTCATAATTATAAGCATGTTCTTTTATTTTCATTTTAAAAAAAATACATCCCACAAAATAAAATGTATCCATCTTCTTTTTGCAAAAGTTTTCTGATTTTCTCTGTTTCAAAACTTCAATTATAATAAGTTTTTTCAAAAGGTCAGGTAACACCATCAACTCTGAACCAGAATTAGGAGGCGACAGTGAGGGTAAAACTTATTTTTTGGATTGTAAAGGTTGCAGACCTTTAATCTAGATATATGCAGATGAGACCCTGATTTTGGTTTTACCTTAAAGAAATTTGGATTTCTTGCCATCGCCTTCGACTTTTTTAAAAATCACACCCTCTTTTGTTAAATAGACAAGACAATTAGCATGATTCAAAAATAGCAGCAAGGTGTCAAATCTTCCCTAACAGGTTGTCTTGTCTCTCTGTTACTATGCAACAGTTAGCACCTGTTGAATATGAATTATTGAATCCTGAGAAAAACTCCCTGTGCTCACAGTTTCGGGACTGGTCTCCTCTTCAGTCGCAGAGGAAATATAGAAAGAAGCAGATCCATGCAGGAGTTATATTACCTCTTTTTACGAACTCATTAAACCGGGTGAATGACTCCTTCCTATCTGCAGAGCACAATGAAGCGACGCTTCATTTGCAATAAAGCACCAGAGCCTTTTCAGTTTATCAGCTGCAATCAATACGACTCTGCGGATAGATATGGCCCTCCTCTGACACCGTATCCTCCCAGGATCGTTTAGGACGGGAGTCTGAGTGTTCCTGCACACTTAGTTAGGTCAGGGCTCAGCGTCGGCTGTTGTGTGTCCCTCCGCTGGGAACATTTGCATGCTATGTCATTGCAGGTGTGAGGGGATGTAGATGGGTGTGAATTGGTGTGCAGAAGGTATGTCAGCGTGAAGTACAAAGATATGAGAAGAAGAAGAAGAGGAAGAAGAAGAAGAGGAAGAGGAGGAGGGGGTTCAGCGTTGCATGTGTCACATCTGTCAGGCAGGAAGCAATTAATTACACTGATCTACTTCATAACCTTTTGTTTGTTTGGGCCCAAAACACCAAAATAAAGCCAAAAAAGGTGACTGACACAAACACACACACACACGCACACACACACCAATCAGTGCTGATTGCCTGTGTCAGGATAGACTCTAACATCTCTAGTGAGCCTGAATTCAAACAGAATGTGGAGAAGAGCTTGAGGAGAGAAGGAGAGAGGGATGGAGGCGAGGAAGGGGGGGAGGGGTGACACAGCCGAGGAGGGAAGGATGGAGAGAGGGATGGAGGGAGAGAGGGATGGAGGGAGGGAATGCGGTGTGGAGTGGCATGGGGTGGGGGGGGGGGGGGAAAGG